TTTCTTATTACTTATTTCAACCTTTCGTTGTCGTGTCAGGTTGTTAGAGTACAAAAATGTGCTAAACATTTTTTTCGGTTCTTATAACTATTTTATTTTTCAAGGGAAATTGTGTCACACTTTGTAAGTATGAATTAAGTGTTTTTTTTATCATTAAAGATAGCAATCGAAAAAAAGGACCTTGATGAAATAAACATATCTTGAGATTAATTTAAGTTTTTTATCTTGAACCAATTTTTACAATGCCTAGAGGTGAATTCATAATGCTTGATATTAACATTTATTAGAATATATATTTTAATTTATAAATATTAGCGAATTGTCGAACAAATCTTGATGCCTCAGTTGCCCAACCGCTTTTATACTTTCTACGGACTCCCCATGGGTCGCTGTCCAAAGGACATGGGAATCAAACTCGTACTAAGAAGCAGCAAGCACCACCAGCCAAAGTCAACGTATCAACGTGGTTTGTGGCTCCACTGCTCACTAAGTTTCGAGGGTAGGGAGAACGGCATATCCTGTCCCTCGAGGCTTCACATTTGCAGCATTAGCAGTGTGGTCCTGCCGAGGCGCGGACGATAGGGTATATTTAAATGTACCCTATAAGTCCACGCACGACACCACCTCGAATGTAAAAGACAGAAAGATGGGGCCCCCTCCTATAACCATATTACACCTGTCCTACGCAAATGGTCTCTCTCCAACTCTCTCCAACTCTCCACAACTCGGAGCAGCCTTCGCGGACTGAATAAGAAGCCATGGCTACTAAGCCGCCGCCCGAGTTACTGAGCTAAACGACATATCTTTACACCGACGACAATCTCTACCTTTTCTCTTTTGTGTTCACTTTTTCATATATTATTGCATAATCTACTAATGAACATGAATATATGTATGTATCTATACAAATAAATCAAATTGGAGTGTCTGTTTGTAATATCAAAATAACCGCTTTTTACTAAATGCATATGGATGTATACACGGTACATACAAAACAAAATAACATTTTTACAATTTTTGTCTGTCTGTCAGTCTGTCTGTTCCGGCTAATCTCAGAAACGGCTGGATCGATTTGGACGGGACTTTCACTGATAGATAGCGGATTTAATAAGGAGTGACTTAGGGTACTTTTATTTTAGAATTTTTTTATTTTAAATTCCACGCGGACGAAGTCACGGGCTAGTAAGCTGAGAAGATAATATCCATTAAGGATACAAGAACCATCATTTGAAAAACGTCATTTAAGAAACCATGGCCGGAAAATGATCAGTGCTTATTTGGCACGAAAGTCTGTGGAGGCCATGTTAATTTATTGTACACTAAAATACAATTGTACACTGATAACAGGTTTGCATACTTGACAAATTAATAAAAATAAACGTCAATAATAATTAATATAAATAAAATATTTTTTGTAATTTTAAGACATAGAGCAGAATTCAAAACATCGTTTTTTTATAACGACCGGCGTTGGTTATTAATATGCAGATCAGGATTGATTAACATAGTTTGATGACTTGACATTTGGGTTTTTTTTAAATATGTGTTGTAATTGGATAATGTATCATGTGGTGAAAAATTTTATAACTTTTTTTAATTTTATTTTTTCGATAAATTCTGCTGCTGCCACTAAATTTTTTCGATAGGTCACTTACCTAAGTAAGTCCGGCATAATTTACTATCGTTATTATATTTGTTATTGAAAATCGATACGTTACAATCACGTGTCGCTTATAAAGCTTTTCCACAATCCGTGCTACATACATATGACTGAATAATATTATCCCATAAACAATATATGAAAGAGGCTCTCAAACTGGGCTTACGTATCGTTATGCGTTCAAAAACAAACTATTCCATATTTTGTCCGCAAGGTCCGAGTCCGAGCTGCTAGATACAGAGAAAAGATAATCCTCAACAAACGTGTCATATCCTTACATACTGGGGGTCATTAGTGTTGTTTACATCTGAAATGTTGTTGGTGAGCTATCTGGCTGTACTGAGCACAAGCAAGTTTGTGGCAACTGCTTCTTTTGATCAATGAAAATTCCTTATTCAGAATAACAATTGATAAACATCAAGGCGTGATTATTTTAACATTTGTCCGCCCACAGACAAATGCAACACCATTTAGAGGTGCACATTTAAGAGGGATTTATTCAATTTACAGACAGCGGTACATAAAGTTCGTTATACCACTAGCTAAATTCACCTTCCTCAGTCGTTAGAACACAGAAACGCAAAAGAAGAAATATTTCTACTTCCTATCGATTTTTTTTATATCTCATATATATACACTATGGCCAATAAAAGTTAAGGCAATTCCAAAGACTGACAGCACAAATATATTCAAGTTAGCACGGCGCTACCTAACAAAAAAATATAGAACTAATACAAGGGTGCGTCAAGCGTAAACCGCTTTTAAAAATTATTATTAAAATGTATTCACGTTAGTTCATCTTCTAGACACTAGATGCCGCTTGAAACAATATACACACTTTAAATTTTTAAATTCGTTAATTTCATACTTTAATGTTTCTTTTAATAATTAAATACATTTGCAGATATTTCATTACCAAAACTGAAAATAAATTTTCTGCTGGTAAGTAATTATCACTGTAGTTACATCAACGGAATCGCAATCGCCACAAAATAGAATGCATATCAATAATCAATGTTAACAAATACTGAATCAAAACACTGTTCTCTCCTTCGTCAACTAATAAAACGGACAGGACTCGCAGACCAGGATCTCACTTTTTAAAAGGTTGGCCAAGTATGTACAACCACACAGGTAACCATGGTCGGCTATGATCACCTAGCTTCAGGTGAACCACCATGTTTCTTGCCAGCTTCTGGTGATTTTATATCGTGAGAATTAATTAAAACCACTGAAAATCAGCTTTCATGGAGTTTTTTAAACTTCGTTCATGCTATTATAATTAAACATCTCGTTGAAAAATTTCGTTTCATAACGAAAATCCAGATAAAACGTAGTCTATTTCGTATAAATGCCATTCAGCACGGCGCATTACACATTTAGTAACAAACACAAACATGACTCAGCGTATTCAAGGGCGAATGATAGGTCCTCGATTTGCGGGCTACACACACGATACACCTGTGCCTTGATGTGTCTGAATCACTCACTTCGTGTTGTTATTGTTATTTGTATCATTTTAGTATTATTTGCTAGTGAGTATACATGCGTACGTACGCTGGAAACGCTTTGAAAACGAATAGGTTAATTTTGTTAACATTGTTAATATTGCTAATATAAATATTGTGTGACACTTGTCTTGACTTATCCGTCTGTCTCGTGACCATGAACAGCTGTAAAGGCTTCGAAGCTTGTCCGTCTTCGTTCGAAACGTCGGGAATTGGAAATAAAAATAAACGACTTTGATTAAAAAACTGAGCGAGGGAAAATAAATCAGTGCCTACAAAATTTTTTGAATCCATACAATAAATCCATTTAACTGTGACAGGGTCTCGGTCAATCAAAGATATACGATCATAAAAATATGTTCATTGAAAAACTAAAAAGAAACAGAGTGATAACGGAGTGATTATATGGTAAATCGTTCGTGTACCGCTCGTATAATATAACGCTTGCATCGACAAGAAGTAGCACGTTTACCGCAAAGAAGTAACCCTTCGTCGTGTCTCCCCTTGTTACCACAAAACGGTTTCACTTGGAAGAGACAGCCAAACTGACTTCTAAAAAGCTTGGTGTGTCTGGGCAGAGTGAGGCATATTTCCTGCTCTCCCGTCGCCTGCAGCTTTAGATAGCGCAAATTCGGCCGCACATGAAGTATTGCTCTCATTTCTGTGCTGGGGTGCCCCAATAACAACTGTTTCCATTTGACCGCATCCATCTAATCATCAGCGGTCAAGTCCTTTTAAATCATCTCCACTCTTTGGCCTTGCGAAGAGCTGTTTCATCTCTCTGTTTAATCGCAACATAGCGTTTTTTATCGAATTTATCACGGGGAGTGTCCTGAGTTGTTCGGATTAATAGCTACTGCTGAATTTTGCCACGGTATGACGCGTCAAAGTGTCAAATATCATCGCCACCACCTTTTTTATGTGAAACGTTGCCAAACGAGCAGACGGTTCACCTCATGTTAAGTGAGTACCACCGCCGATGGACATCTGCTACACCCTAGGGTTCCAGATGTGTTGACAACCTTTTTAAAATTGGGCTCCGGCCACCTCACTCACCAGACGAAACGCTAAAGTATTATACTTCCACTTTACGCCGGTCTTCTTTGAGATCGTGGTACTTACCCGGACGAGCCTGCCCATTCGTGGAACAGCCGAGGCTGCTGCGTGGCCCTACCACCGTAAGCTAGTACCTCCATGGCTCTACCACCGTTAAAACCTTCGCCTTTTCGCGTAATTTTCTAGGACGCACAACCAAGTGGTGGAATCAGTTATCGTCAGTGATATTTCGGAACCTATACGACTTAGCAAGTGTCAATGGGCGGCAGAATATACTTACCACCAAGTGGACCGCCTGCTCAAAAGTTTCTACAACAAGTGGCTACTGAATAACAAATAATACTTTTCTACACCCAGCACATTACCATCAAGATTGCTCACCTAAGACTTCGTACTTTCTTCTCATGGCGCAAATCGCATTCGCATTATCACTTCAAACCGTGTCAAACTTATCGAACTTGTCAACGCTGCAGAAGAAAACAGTGTCATAACAAAGGCATCAAGTCTATGAGTATGCGTCGCAGATCTCAATATATAAGCTACTCTGTGTTCTCAGTTCAACGCCAACATTTACTAGGGATAGTCGCTCGCTCCGTTGAAAGCGAAACAAAACAAATTGGTTTAAAACATGACATAAAATCGCATCACAGATAATTTTCTTAGCGTTCTCTGTAGATTTACCAGTGAACAGTCTCGTATGAAACTAAAGTTAAACCTGTCTTTTTAGTGGTGTATTTTCGCAGAGTTCAATAACACGAGGTGAACTATCAATAACAATGCCGGCCCAACAGGAACCACAGACCAGCATCGTTCTGCGTGAGGTCACGCCGGAGCGTGAGTACTTTTTAATTAATACCCTTAAATCTCTTTTATTTATACCTTGAACACGTCCGTATGTTACATTCCAAATACACGATGAAACAGGTTTTGGTAGACATTTCGCGTATAATTATAATTTTTAATTTACGGCATTTGAAAGAATTTTTAGAAGTTAATTTCCAGTTTTAAACAATATTAGAGAACATATTGACAATTCTAAACTTTTTATAAAACATAAAGCGTACAGTTTGTAATTTAAGCAAAAAATAAATAAATACTACGATAAATGAAAGTTAAAGTTGCAAAATATCATCCAATTTTGCGAAGCTCTGCGTGGGTTTACAAAACTTCTGGCAGATTTGTATTATGCAGCAATCAGATTGCATAAATGGGTAAACATTTAGCAACTTGGTTAGCTGGTGTGGCTCATGTGATGTAAAGATATTTTTTCATCAGTATTTTGAACCAATAATTATTATGTTACAATGAAATTTATTCTGCAAGGGAAAGAGTTTCAAAATATTTTAATCAATAAAGAAGTTAACTAGAAGTAGGATATTTCACGAGCTTCGCGGGTACATTTATTTTAACTTTAAATTTATTGTCAAAAGAATAATGTATAGATGGTATAATAAGTTCTTTACGAATACCCTCTTCGTAAAATTCTTCATCACGAAACAACAGTAGCATCTATATGCTATTATTAGATTTTAAGTCCTAGGAAAGATTTACAAATAATAAACCTGTATTTGCCCGTAACTGCAGCATATTATGATTAAATTATTTGTAAGTAATGTTTTGAATATATATTTTGTTTTAGTTGGGTGTAATTATTCAATCTCGAATTATAGACATGGGTAATTTTTTTAAGTATATCAGTTTCGATATTTCATATAGGTATATTTCATTTCATTTTATATTATAGATGAAATATTGAATTAAACACAAGTCTGTGTTTACATTCGTTCAAACCGTTACTCATAACTAACTTAATCATATGCCGCAATGACGGGCTGCATCCTGTAGGGGGTAAGTCCCCTATATTATATCCGAATTGAAGACTTGTAAAATCTATCATTTGGCGTCCATATGATTAATTCAACCATTAATTTTAGGCAAGTATATACACAGTACAACATCTAACATATATAAAATCGGCATGGTCTCGCTATTTTCATGTGAATTATAGAACCTATTTGTTATATATTATTAGGCTATTAAAGTTTCCAACCGATAGATCGTTTGTAGTTCCATAATGAATAAAACATAATAGGATAAAAGGGAATATATAATGCTAATTGGCTAACATAATATCATACTTATTCAACTTCGACTTCATTTAAACGAGGTCAATATGACATAAGGCGATTTGAATAGTTTTAAAATAAGACTTCATTACAAATAAAGTTATGTCGAACTGACGCGCCACTTGCTTGCTTTAAAGAGCATTATAACATGGCATACAATTTTGAAATTATTGAACCATCACTTGAATTTTTTGTTATCTTAAACTCGCAACTTAACTATCAAAGGGGCTATAAACATGTAATTAAAATGAATCAGAAATAGATAGTACCCTCAAATTTCTTCAATTTACAAAAGAAAAGTGCGCAGCTCTTTAATAATGTAAAGTATTATTAGATTAATTAATAAATAAAGAAGGTTGTTGAGGTTATTATTTTCCATTTAATAATTTCCGCTTGTTGTAATCCATTAACTTTAGAAAAGTCATAAATATTTCAATCACTCATTATCTGAAAGACAAAGAACAAGGAAATTACAATAATATTGTAATAACCATTCAAGCTTCTGCGATTGCCAACAAAGATATTTATTCATTTGAATTAAGATGCATTTTAAGATAAAAAGACTACAAATCTAAAAGCAGTATAACAATTATCCCTTTTGTCCTAGCTGAAATTTAATATCTCCTAATTAACTGCATGTAAAGAATCTATACTACAGAAACAGTTTTTGTAAGTCACTCTCCTTCGTTGATATGCGAACAATTTGAAATTATGGTCTAATACTAACCGTTTAAATGTTTAACTCTTACCATTTTTATTTATAACGGCAAATGAATCGACGGTTCACCTGATATTAAGTGATTACCGACACCTGTTCGCCACCGTTCAATTCCTATACCACGATAACCTTATTAGCAAAGCGGAACTGTTAAAACGATGATACTACTACTAATTTTCCAATAAGTGATAGTAAAACAACAAACAAATCCAAATTTATTAGTCATGTCATATCTACTAAGCAATAAAATTAATTAATAGAGGCAGATTGGTATGCTTCATTGCATTCTAATGATTCATCTCTCTGCGGAAAATTGTCGACATTTTGAATAATTACTTAATTTTTATTATTGCCTTGAGCGCTGCAATAAATAGAATCAAATGTATAAAAACATCAAAAACAATTATCTGTAGATCTCGCAAATACCTGTTTCGGATGGGAAACTAACCCATGAGCCGCAGTGCCACTCACAGTCGAGTCATCGAAGTACGACTAATTTTAGGGTTCCGTACTTTAAAAGGTAAAAAAGGCGAGGATCACTCTCTTGTCCGTCTGTCTGTCCGTGTAACTGGTATAAATTTCAACTTGCTAGGTCTACCCATTCCTGAGAAAATCGGTGGTGACTATTTATCAATTTTATAATGGCAGTACAATGGGTAGATAAGGAACCCCCGGCGTATGAATTCGCCTCGCAATTTTTTTATGTGAGAAAGTGGCAAACGAATACCATCTATCCACCATGATCTTAAGTGATAACCACCGCCCGTTGTCCGTTGCCCTACCACAGTTAAACACTTGATCGCTTTTTTTTTCAGTAATACGTGTATCGTATAGTCGAACCTTTATTAATTCCTGAATGGAATTGCGTTATATTTATTGTATGATTAAAGCCCTCGTGGATTATTTTGAACCCCAAAGAAATGGAGGTACTAAATTTTGACAAGACATGCAATTTTAAAATTTGTAGAAAAATTGACGAAAATTTTGAATCTTACTTCTTACTTAATTTTGCCGCGAGCCATTCTCTATAAAAACAGAAAAAAAAATCATGTCTGTTTTATGGGACCCAAACTTAATTATTTTTTATTCTGTTTTTAATATTCTTTGTTATAGCTGCAACAGACATACATCATCTGTGAAAATTTTGTGTTTAACGGTTCTAAACTAACTGTCTTACTGTATCACGTTTTACCCTTTGAGTACGGAACCCTAAATAGAGATTCGCAACTCCTCGCAACGGAGAAAATCTTTACGCCCATTTTTCTGCAAATTTCATCTAGATAGTATAAAAATTTATATCATTGAAGAACACATACAATTTTCATTTCTATTCATTGCATCTATTTCTTAGTTATATACAAAGTAAAATTGAGAATTATATCAACGCCTTTGACGGAATGTGATGACTCATTGTCTGACCAAATACATATTTGGATAAGATGATTAAGTCAAATTAATTAAAAAGGACCGAAATAAGTTTGCAGTAAATTTAAAACAAATAAACGTATATTACTTTCTATAATAATCAGATACAAATCCATTTTATCTGGAATTTCTTCGTGCGTGTCGTATTCTAAGTTATATATTTAAATATTCATCACGTTCGATAAATATTGAAAAACAAAGCAATCTGTCACGTAAGATTGAATGGATTTGTTATTTTTACCAACGTGCCTGTATCCTCATTTCACTATCTTTACTGATAGCAGTGCGTGCGAAGGTATTGTGTTAATTTGCAAATATGGCTACCAACGCTCACCACCGATTAAAGTCCAAGCTTTTTCGGTATTGATCTGATTGGGAATATTCTTTTGATCTATTAACATATTAACGCATTACGTTTTTGCATTTTATATTTTTGTACAGAGTTTTTCTTTATAAATTATTTATTGAAAACATGACGACCAAAACCATTACATGATTCTGATCCAGACAACGTGGTTGTTTTATGAGAGTCCCTTTCAATTCTGTCGAAAAAAGTATATAGAAGGTTTAATGTTACACTAACAGAGCCGACAGACGTTGTCCTGTAATCATATTGTTATTAAAAAAAACATTTTGTAGTGGACTGAATTGTAAATCTAAACAATTCTCGAATCCACCTGAAAACACACAAAAAATTTCATTAAAATCGGTCCAGATGTTTGGTAGGAGTTCAATGGCATACAAGCGTACAGAAGAATTATATATTTAAAGATTACACAGATTTCATCACTTTGCGAAAAAAACTTTTTTCAGACATTTTACGCATATCATCGAATCACAATGATCTTTCTCAAAGCGACCAGGTAAAAACTTTTTCTTCCTTTTAATGCCTTCCAAAATTGCCAAAGTGACCTGACTTTTTCAGCTTCAAAGACCAAAAGAACGTTTCGAGATAACAAAACACAGATGTGCCCCATTTCTTGTACGATGTGAAAAATGGCGAATCGTTGTCTAAAATTGTGTTACGGAAATAAAATTATAAAGTTTTAAACATTAGAATATCGAAGTATGTAGTGAAGATGTAAAAATCTTTCTGCGAGGAAATCTATTTTCCGTGTTTCTTCTTGTTGACGTGAACTAAGTTTTGGTACACTATGTTCTATTAAACCATGTGTTGCTTGGTAAAAAATTTAAAGATCACAAGAGATTTTACGTTTTCTCAGTAAAATGAGGTCGAAACTATGGCAAGGACCAGATAAGAAAATTTTATTCGTAATACCTCATTACAAATTTTGGTAGTTCTTCAGATACCAACTAAGAGAATTGTGCTATTTAATTCCAATTAAAAATCCATACATACAATATTTGTTTTTGACCGCACTTTTCCTGTGTAAATAAATGTGTAAATTTGGCTTAATATGCTCTTTTTCCTAAAAGACATTGATAATCTGGTACGTAGTTATCATAAAGACGTAACTACCCCAATAACGAAAAAAACTAATTTTCAGAAACCAATACCCGATTGCTTTCTAAAAATATTGTTTTTTTCGCTATCTAAGATCTGT